AGTCCACCCATGGCAGTATGGAGAGCGCCTGGGTTCCAAGTCCTCGAAGATGTTTGAAACGGCCACCTTCCTCTTCCTCTTGCTGGTAGGGCACTGTGGTCCCTGTTCACAGTAATTTGGTTTTTCCTCATGACACATGAAGTCAGTCTCATAGCTTGTGTACGAGCCAACAGGGGACCCTTCTCAAGTGCCTGCTCAAGTCGTTTGTCCATTCTCTGATTGTGTCACTGGTCTCTGTTTACTAATTACATGTCTTTGTATGTTTTAGGTGAGTCTATTACTGTTTGTTTTATTTTGAAAAAAAAAAAAACCTTGAAATCTTTTCATGAACAAAAAAATTTAATATAGTCTGATTTATCAGATTTTTCCTTTGTGGCTAGTGGACTTCGTGGACATTTGAGAAACTATGTCTACACTTAAAACATTATCCTAGAGCAATGAAAGAGATATCTTGATAGTGGGAGCCATTATGGGGTTAGGGAGAAACCTGGTGCTAGGGAAATTCTCAGGAATCCACAAGGATGAGCCCAGCTAAGACTCTTAGCAATAGTGGAGAGGGTGCCTGAACAGGCCTTACCCTCTAATCAGATTGCTGACTACCCTAATTGTCATCATAGAGCCTTCATCCAGTAACTGATGGAAGCAGATGCAGAGATCCACATCCAAGCACCAGGCTGAGCTGTGGGAGTCTGGTTGAGGAGAGGGAGAAGAATTATATGAGCAACAGAGGTGGTTAAGATCATGTTGGGGAAACCCACAGAGACTACTAACTCAAGCTCATGGGAGCTCATGGACTCTAGACCGACATCTGGGGAACCTGCATGGAACCTACCTAGGCCCTCTGCATATGGGTGACAGTTGTGTGGCCTATCCCTAGTGCATGAACTGTCTTTTTGGAGCCCGTTCCATATGGTAGGATGCCTTGCTTGGCCTTGATGCAGTGGAGAGTAGCTTGGTCCTGCCTCAACTGAATGTACCAAGCTTTGTTGACTCCCCATGGGAGTTCTAAGCCAATCTGAGGAGTGGACGGGGGTGGGTTGGGGGGAGGTGGGGGAGTGGGAAGAGTCGAGGGAAGGGGAACTGTAGTTGGTACGTAAAATGAATAAAAAATTTAAAAAACCTTCACCTGGGTCCTCCTGCAGCCTGTCTAAAAGCAATGCTTGGGATTAGTATGTGGTCAAGGTCAAGACTATTGCTTTCTCCTCATAGAAACACAGTTGAATCATGCTTTATTGAGGAGCCTATCCCTTCCCCATGGTACTGTGCATGCTTGGAACCTGCTCACCCTAATGTAACTGTGTCTTTCCGTGTTGATATTTCTGGATTATCTCCCATGTCACTGTTTAATTATTTTATAGCCCTACAAACTACAAACCTGTCTTTGTTATTTTAACTAATAAGAGAGGTGTGTCTTGAACATAAGTTCAAGATATAAGGTCTTGAACATAAGTTCTACTTTGATCTGTTTTCCCTTTGGCTAACTTTCCCTGTCAGTTTTGCTTTATGTATTTTGAAGCTTTGCACACTGGGTGCAGAGTATTGCGATCACATCTGCTTGGCAACTGTGTAAGTGTGTGAAGCGGCCATGCCTTCATTCCTCTGTCTAGTGTTTGTCTCATTTGTCTCTTCATGGTTCTATGACTGCATCTTCTATTTGGCCCTCCTCCTTCACTGGCTTGTCAATCTCCGAGTTTCAATGTCATTATCAACATGACTAGGTTGAAAACCATCTCATTATTTTCCATTGTTAACTTATTAGCTAAGGATCTTTGTTTTAGTTAATATCTTTAGTAGTTTCTTTTAGATTTACAAACTCATGTAGAAACTCACGAAGTATATTTCCTTTCCTCTTTGTCTTCTATGATCATTCCTTTTACTTCCAAATGTTCCAGGCACATTATGTTTCTGCACTGTTAGAAGGTGACACATCCATCTTCTCCCCTCTTCCACCGCTGTGTACCATATACCTGCCTTGGCTCTCTAGATATCTTCTCACAAGACATTGAAAATCAAGCAATCCCTGGACAAGAAACAGGAGCAAAATTGTTCTATTCCTCAATGGATTCACGTGAAAACTGGTTACAAAATCAGGTACAACTCTCAGAGAGGAGCCTGGAGGAGAAGGAAGTCGGGTCTCTGAGGATTCACACTGTGGCAAGACTGGGAGTTCAGTCTGGATTGTGTCACTGATCAATCCTGCCAGATGGAGGTCAACATTTTCAACCTTGGTCAAGTTTAAATTGGGGGTGTGGTTTGTCCAGTAATAAAGTGTAGAACCTTTCAAACTGCAGAAAAAGGTAAAATATCTTTAAAATACTGTTAAAAGGAATTATTTTATATTTGCATAGATATTATTTCACTGTTTTTAAAATTTCATGTTTACCAGCTTTTCGAAAAGCAGAGTGTGCTCTGTAATGTGGGTGGAGCTCTCTGTAATGTGGGTGGAGTCTATTTCTGCAGTTCTTCAGTCCTTTGAGTCAATGCTAAATTCTCATGTCAACATTAGCTTCCCAATTTCTATTGCTCAAACACCTGGAGTGTGCTTCATCTGGTCCTTTTTGTTGAGACTTTCTGTAACTTTTCTTGGTCTGTTGATAAAATCATGCAGGTTATGTTTTCCTCTACAGTCATTATTTTGCCTTTGTGTTCTCCCCGCCCCTGCACTGGTGGGCTAGAATCCAGGCGTGTGCTCATGCTAAGGACGTGCTCTGCCACTGAGCAGTCCCGGGCCCTCTGCCTTCACTTTCCAATAGAGTTCAAGCGTGATTCCACCTCGCCAGTGCTGGTTGATTTATTCACTAATCTTGCTCTTGAGTGTGGTTTTGCTTTTATTGCTTTTGACCTTGTAACCTTCTCACCTTGTTTATATGTAGGTCCCGTCTTCCCCCGACCCACCGTCTTCACTACATTCTTATCACTGCCTTTTGACAATTTTGTTGTACATCACTGTGAGTTTGCTTCATGTTCATATTGCTTGGCATTTATCAAGCTTGTGAGATCTGTAGGTTTATACATTTTTTTAAAAAAAATCAAATTCAGAAAAATTTTGACTAATACTCTTCAAAGATGCTTCCTGCTTTACCCCTGCTCCGTGAATGGCAGATGGCTGCTGGGTTTTCTATCACAGCACTGGGACTCTGGTGCCTTTAAACATTCCAGGTTTCTCTTCCCTTTCTGTGTTTCTGTTTAAGG